TTTTTTTTTTTTTTTTTTGGAATGTTCTCACACCACGGTAAAACAAGAATAAAACAATTTCGTTCTATTTTCAAGAAATGTGTCGCGTGCTTTTCTTAAATCATTGTACATTTCCCAAGAAGCACGTCATTGTCGGAGTGTGATTTTTAACTTGGATGTGTAATGATTACACGGTAGTTTTACGCACCGATTGCAAGAAGAAGCGGTTGAACAATACGCTTTTTGTCCTGGTGTTCATTAAAACTTCTACAATCATTGAACCTTCGACCGTCTGAAAACATTTTAACCTAATTACAACGCAAGTGATGCCGAGGAAACGAAACGTGAAACTTAATTAAAAGAAAAGCTCATTAATGAATATAACGAACAAAAGCGTTTCGTGACTCGCATTGTGATCGAGGCTTGTACAAACAAAAAGTAAACGGTGGAATCGATCAGTAGTGAAGAATAAACGACGAGAAATTTTTTGAAGTGAAGCTTCGTTTTATAAATCACGTTATTCTTTTTTGACAAGATCACAAAATTATTTTAACACTCGATTATCCATATTAATAATCCTCAATATTTAGTACGATCGTTTTTAACACTCATTATATTGATTACTTACTTTCTACTAATTATACGTTTGTAACGAATAATTTGTATCTGTTATGTGCATTTTCAGATTTAAATTTTAACCAATATAATCGTAATAATCGTGTCTACACTGCTATTTATAATTATTTGGATACGTCCAAATATATAAATTTAATTTTGGTCTCTCTTATCTCAAGCAATCGTATATAGTACTAACTATATTTTAAGCAGAAATGGAATGAACTAATATTTATTTCAGTCATAATATACAACATTGTTTAGCGTAAATAAAAAAAGAATAATCGACGATGGATGGAAATTTCTAAGTGACTTTAATTATATGTTCCATATTAGAATCTTTACACACACACAAAATATATTGTATATGTTTCTAGACGTAGCCTACAAGTTTATAAATTTTATGAAACATCAAGTGTCATGGATAAACATAGACCTTGAATAACGGAGATACATTCTTCGTTTCAATTTCAATTTGTTAATCCCACTCGTTGCCAAGAAGTAAATGGAACAAATAGACAAATATTCTTCCATTGCAAGGGTTCAGATTTTTGTTGAAAATGCAACAAATTACCGTAACACACCAAATAAATATAAAGTACAGTAGCTTCACCTAACGTTGTACGACAACGAGATATTCCGAATATTATAAAACGAAGTCATTTCAGTCATCAAAGTGGATCGAGTGTCGTTGAAATTCTTCTCGAAATAGAACGTCGAGCCAAAGGATCGCTTTTGTCGAATGAAACATTCGAATCGGCGACACTCGGTCGTTTCGGAAGCGTCTTCTAGACGTGTCCGGCGAGCAAGATCCTCTTTCTTCTTCATTTATTGGATCACGAGGAAGGGGAGGGAGGAACGTAGCTAAAGAACTTCCGGTAGCAAAGATTAAGAAGGAAAGAGGGAACCGGACGCACGTCGACGATGACCGAGCTCTTTGGCATTCAGAAAGCGCTTTGGTTCGTTAGCCAACGAACGTTTCGAATACGTACACGACCCTCTGTATGCACCTGTACAGATGTGTACGTATCCATTCCTGGGGTAAACATATACCGGGATAATTTGATTTGTGTACGGCTAACATTTACAGGCAATTTGTAATCAGAGTAAATACTTCCTAATGCACCGGTTTAACTTTCAACGGAATTAACGAAGGAAGGGGACGACATTCCGGGTAGATAAGCTCGCCGGAATTCAGGTGATAAAGGAACTGTTCTAGCAGTAGGAGTTTCTAAGTATTATTTGTGTTATGTGAATATTCAATTTCGAAATGTCATTAACACTGCGAAGAGGAACGACTGTTACGATTATATCTGGTAAGGCTTGAGACCAATCTCAGAAATGTACGCAAGTGTTATAAGATGCAAACATCGTTTAGTATTATTATTTTTATAAATCCTCGATTCGCTTTAATAATTGAATAGAAGAAGAAAATGTCTTGTTCGTGGAAGAATTTTTATATTATCTCATGTGAATTTTTATGTTATCCTATCTATAACTGTTTGAAATTTCATTAACACCGCGACATTATGGAACACGGCTATTATAATTACATTGGCAAAATTTGAAATCAATTTAAAAATGTATATAAAAGCTGCAAGATGCTTATTGCAAGTATAGACTTGCCACAGTAATGAAATGATCAATTCGTAATTTTTAGAAATCTGATTATATGTGTAAATAAAAATTGGTATTCTTTATTGTACTTCTTCCTTTCTTGCACTTTATTTTCCCTGATAGACGTTTTATATTTTATATATTAATGGCTGTATTAAAGATGGTCTTGTTGACTATTGAAGTTTTACTTGTAATTTCTAAATATGTATTTTTTTCAAACTTGATATAGTAATGATATTTCATCCGCATTACAATGTTAATTAAATGAAACATGAAAATATCTATAAACACTTTCGTGAGCAACTGTAAGTAATGACGTTTTAAATTAACGTGTAAAATGAACAGAAATTTTATTTCGCAAAAGTGGGATTTTTGTAGCAGCTTAATATTTCTCATGCGAATGTTTTTAACAACTTTGATATAATATTTTTGAGAGTCATATTTAACATAATTAACGTTACATTTCATACGAAAGCTGTGGTGATTTTGAAAATTGTTGTACTTTAAATTCAGGTGTAATTGGCAACATCGTGGATGAGAGTGTTTTTAAAAGCACTCTTCTTTTCATAGCTTTGCTAATTTTCATGGTAATTTAATATGAGCATCCTGGAAATTTTAATCTCATTTTCGTTGCGACCTTAACTCTGGCCGATAAAAATTGTTCAGTGTAGAAAACATAATTGATTTAATATATGAAAAATGACAGGATGCGTACAATACTAGTACAATGGAGAATCAGGTTTACGCTTCATAATAATATTTAACGATATTATCGACGTCTTACTTATTTTCATTTTTCATTGCAAATACATTATTTTTACGTTTTTAATCGAAATGGCAATTAACGAAACTCAGTTTCTCAATCGTCGTTAGAATTCAATGTTTTTAATAATAAAGTTCAACAATTTCATGTTCATTTATGCTGTAGATGGAAACATATCCAAACTTTAATGTTTAACTGAACCCAATTTTAATGTTTATAATTAATAAAGAATATTAAAACGCTGTTATCACTACGACTTGAATATACAGTGGCAGGCAGAGGAAAATTTAAAAGGTGAAATGATAAAGGTAATTCATAATTTGACAAGATCAATGAAGAATAGAACATAGATCAAAACATGTCTGGTATAAAAATTACTAATTCTTACGCTTATTTTTTTTATCGAAATATTTATAAAATATTCACGGTACGAATTAAGGCGATTGCACAGCTTAAAGAAAGAACGAAAATCAGAAATAAAAAATTTATCTTAGTGAAAAATTGAGTTTAGTGAAAACTTGTCAGGTAGATGAATTTGGCTAACGGCCAGCTAGGGAGGAGGCAGAAAATTGGCAGGAGATAATTCTACGTGTGAAAAAATGCGTTGTGAATATGTAGAATGAAATTTTTCTCGCAGAGGGAATTTTTTTTCTTCGTTCTCAAGAAAATAAAGTTTAAAACCACGAATTAGTCTAATTTTTGAAATTTTTGTCTGTTGCAAACGAGCGTCCGGACGAAAATATTTTATCTTCCATTTTTTTTTTTACTTTTTTCCGCATGTGGAATAATCTCGTGCCAATTGTCCATTCCTGTCCAGTCGAAAATTAATTAAATTCACGTGTACATTGACGGAAGTTTTCACCGTCTATTTTCTAAAAGAAACAGTAAAGTCTATAACGTAGTTTTATTCCTGATGTTTGTCTTGTTTTGTGTATAATTATCTTATACATATAATTGAACTGCAGATCTTAATGCACTTTTACATTTCTACGACCACAATTATGAAAATGGAATCTAGAAATTTCTTCTATTAAATATAAAAACGTAATATATTACTATCTACTTTCAATGTTTACTCGATTTTTGCATATGAAATGTCCGAATGACTAAAATCCATAATTATAATAATAATAATTTAATACAGTTCAGTAATATTTATTAATAGTACGTTTAAAGCTTAAAGCCGACCAAAGATAATCACATTATGTCGTAATATGATTAATATTATATTAAAAAAAGGAACGACTAGAAATTCCATAACAAAATTTTAATCATTTTACTTGCAGCAATCTAATACTTCCGCATATCCTGTGCATTTTTACACTTTCAAGTTCTAAATACATATAAAACAATAAATAAGCACATGGATAGGAATCCATTAGTAAATATTTTGATAACAGGAAACAAAGTAAAATATTCTGATGAATGTCGAGGTATAACAGTGGAATGCTCGGGGGATACAGATATGAGAGGCTCTGCTTCAGTATATTTTGAATAGATACG